CTGACTTACTTAATTTGGAAAGTGTAAGATTTCTCCACTCTATGACATGCCTTCAGAAACAATGAATCTTTGTAAGAATTTCCAAAGTACCTGGAATAGAAAAAGTTAAAGTGACACAATTAAAGGTGACAGGCATGGGCAGGAAACAATACATTGAAAATAATGGTCCCCGCAACGGCAGGCCCAGAGCTGTGGCTGGAGGTTTGTGCCTTTAGGTCAGCTGTAGAGAACGAAGGGGTCTTTTGCTCAGAGGTTACCTTTTTAATGAGGCTTACCCTGACTACCCTGTTCAATAATAAAACCTGTCCCAACCCACCTTAGTGTTCCCAATTCCTGAATGTTACTCTTTTTTCCTGTAGACTTATCCCCTCTTAATATACTTTATAATTTCCTTATTATGTTTATTGTCTGTATATTTTTTTCATGTTCCTAGCACATGGTAGTAATATACTTGAGTTTAAATGTATTTTGTATTTTGTCCCGCCTATTCTCTTTCATTTTCTTCTTAGGTGATTATTTTTTGTACCTCCATTCCCTCCCCCACTTAGTTTAGAATTTAGACACTGTTTCTGTTCTTTCAGCGGTAACCCTTAAAATAACATGTATCTTGCACTTACGGAGTATAATACTGGGAAGTCTTATTACCCTTACCTCAGCCAGTGCAAGGATCTTAGGAAATTTGAACTTTATTTCTTCTTGATTTAATATTTGTCATACATTTTAATTCTCTATATTTGTACACCAACGGGACATTATTGTTTTACACAGTCCGTATTTAGATTTACCCATGTATTTATGTCTTACTTTGCTTTTCATTCTTTGCATCTCCGACCTTCCATCAGAAGTAATTTTCCCTCCCAAAAATTGGCTTAGTGTGGGTCTGCTATGACATACTCTTTCAGTTTGTGTTCGCCTTTGCTTTCGTGATTGAATCCCTGGGTATAAAATTGTTTGGATGACACTTTATTTCATCTCATTGAATTGTTCCATTGTCTTCTGGATTCTGTTGTCAGCTGTCAAATTGTCACTTCTTTGAAGATAATCTTTTTTTAACCTCTGGTTATTTTGTCTTTGTTTTCCTATGTTGTGTCTAGGTATAGACTTTATTTATTCTGTGATTAACTGGGAGTCTTGAATTTGTGGCTAGACATGTCTGAATATTCTGTGAAAACATTCTATAAAACAGTTCTCCACTGTTTCCTCATATATTGCCTTGACCTCATTGTCTTCTTTCCTGCCGGGACCCCAGTTAACATACATTAAATCTTCTCATTATTTCATCCGAGTCTTTTACCTTGTAATTTGTTTTCTTCTTGTTTTTCTCCATGATGTATTCCAGATCATTTCTTCTGACTTGTATTCCCCTTTACTAATTCTTAACTTCAGCTCCCAGAAATCCATCCTTTGAGTTTTAGATTTGGGCTATTATATTTTTTTTTTCCAGTATCTCATGCTTTGGTCTTTTTCTTTTGTCCCTTATTCCAGTTCTTACTCATACTAAGATGGCAGTGTCTTTCTCAAGAGAGGATTTGTCTTGCTAGGATTGTGGGGGAAAGTTCATAGCCAGGAATGCCCTAATCCAACGAAGGTTTGAGATTCTGCGGGCTACCAGATAAGAGGGAGCCACACTCCCAAGTTCATGCAAGGCTGCATTTGCTTTTGGTTCACCTCCACCATAGGCATAGCTTTTCAGAAGAACCCAGAATAAAGTGGGGATTGGTTTCTCAGGTAAATTGCAAGGCTTCTCTTTACTCGCCCATTCCTACGAGGCCATAGGAGTCCTATAAGGCAGCTACTTCTCAGGAGTGGAGAATTGCCCTGTAGGCAAAAGAAGCTGTGTGTGGCTGAGCTTACTGCTGTGGGTTCTCTTGTTCTCCTAGGTCTTCAACTGGCAAAATTTAAATACCTTATAAGATATTTATACTTTCGAGAAAGAGTGTGGGTGTGCTTCTGGGTTTTATTTTGTTCTTAAGTAGGAAGGTTGGTCCTGGTTACCTGTTTCACTATTAATAGGAACAGAACTCTCCCTGGTATTTTCCTGATTCTTGGTTTTGAATGTGAAATGGCACCTTAGTAGTATGGGAGATGTCTCCTATTTTGTAGGGGAGGAGGAATAAAGAGATACTTGTCCAGTAACAGATGACCCTCTGAAGAAGTACCCTCTTGTGCATATGTGCCAGGCACAGGCCTCTATGCCTTCTCTTATCTCCTCAGAACTCTTTGAAGTAGCTGTTATCTCTTTTTCACAGTTTAAAGATTTTTATTTATTTATTTGTCAGAGAGAGAGAGCACAAGCAGGGGGAGCAGTAGAGGGAGAGGGAGAAGCAGGCTCCTCACTGAGCAAGGGGCCCGATGTGGGACTCGATCCCAGGACCCCGAGATCATGACCTGAGCCAAAGGCAGACGCTTAACGACTGAGCCACCCAGGTGTCCCTCTTTTTCGCAGTTTAAATAAAGTGGACCCAGAAAGCCTGAATAACGGACCAAATGTCATCATAGTAAGGGGCACATCCAGGATTCAGCCCCAAGTCTTTTGAATTCTGAAGCCCATGCTCTGTTTATGCTGTGATGGTTTTGATTTAAAGAGGAAAAAGTTAGTCTATCAAGAGGTAAATTGTCTTCTCTTAAAGGGACTTTTCATACTTAAGGGGTATTTGTAGCTGGCGTATTTGTACCTCTAGGTTGCTTGGGCATGCTAAAAGGAAGTTGTAAGTTCATTATGCAGTTTTAACGTGCAAGGATTCTTGGCTAGTAGAATAATTTTTTTCCCTTTGGAAATTTCAGTGGTCACTCAGTGAAGCTGCCTAAAAAATTCATATGTTAAAAACATCGTGTTCTTCTATGTGATCTCGACCCATCTGTTTTGTATCTATGCTAGATATTCTGCATGTTTCATTCCTTATTTTTTCCCTAATGGCTGCTATAAAATAAAGGATTTGGTTAAGGGACACTAAATAGTAATTGCATATGTATTGATTTTTAATGGATGGATGATTAGTCATTGGTTATAGAATGTTTCTAGTTTTATCATCTCATCCTATGTCTATTTACTGATTTAAGCTTGTGCTTAAGATTTAGTCTTCAATCCAGCATTAATTAGGAACCATGAAGTTTCTTTGTCTTCTAAGTCTTGAGTTTATTTACTTGTGATTTCCTCAAAAAAGTGATCATATGAATAAAAGAAGTAGTTTATTTCCATTTGGTTATATCTTGTGGTAAACTGTTATTGTGATTGAGGCTCATTTAATCTTGTCAGTTTATACAAAGTGAAGTTTGTTTTAGTAAACTGTTTAAACATTCAAGTAAACAAAAAGTTTAAATTGATTTTGAGCTAATCATTATCACAGCTCATTTTATAAACTTTCAGGTTGAAAAGCTTTCTGAATTTTAGGAGCTATGGTTGGGTCTCTGCCATTACAAAATACTGCTTTTGTAAAATGCCTCAAGTTTACAAGGCCTGTTTTAAATCATTAAAAGTGTTTAAGAACAGATGTTACTACATGTTAGAAGTAGAAAAGTCTGCTTTTTGAGTTTTAATTACGGTAGCATTAGAAGGATTTTGAATTGGCATGCAACATTTCTAGTAAAACAAAAGAGTGTATTTTTGAAGTATTTAAAAATTAACATGTCATATGATTTTACAACTTTTGCCTGCCTTTCAGTAATGGGCATTGACAAGTTAAAAGTTTTATTTCTACTAGAGAAGTGAAAATCTCCAAGAGATTGAAGAGCTAGAAAGCTATTAACTATAATTTAGATGAAATAAAATATAACTACACGAATGTGTCTCCAAGATGACACCCTTGTTTGTGCATCCTAAAATGGATTTATGAGTGCATTTGTCCATCCGGAAAGCATTTGTGTCTCCTCTAGCATAATGTTACCCATAGTTCTATGTACTAGAGAAACAAGGTGGATAAGCAAAAATCCCTGCCCTCAAAGTACTAGTTTAGTCACCCAACAGATCCTTTATTAAGAGCTGATCTTCAGTTATGCATCACCTTATTTATGTGGATTCGTGTGACCCCTAACTTGCCTTATTTTCTATAATAGGTAAGATCAAATAATGGGATTATTAAAAACACCATTTTCCAACCAATATGCCGTGACTAAAATACACTGAAGAGACTCCGGTATCTTAGATCTCCTTTTAGATTCCAGAAGGCTGCCAGGGTGAGCAAGTGTGCAAGTATGAATGTGTGTGCACACGTGTGTGTGGAGATAACAGAAAGGTACCCCTATTCTAGTATACCTTGTCTAGTTCAGTATTCCTCAAACTGCAGAAGGTTGAGAAACATCAGTTAATTGCTTGAGACTCAAATTCTGAGCCAGGAGTCATGGAAAACTATAGTATGGATCTGACGAGTTTAATGGCTACTATTTTCAACTGGCTACATTGGACTTAAAAGAACTGTAACTCATCTCCGAATTTTGAATAGAATGGACCCCGAATACTAGCCAGAATGGAAGAGGTTGAAAATGCATTGACTTCCATTTCTGGGACAAGGTGGTTTAGACTCCCTTTTTCCTGCCCCTCCTCTATAAATACAACTATAAATGCCTTGGAAATTATTTAACTGACAGCAATAAAAGGACTCAGAACTGGAAAGAAGGTAGAGTAACAGTACTTGAGGAATGACAATGTGGGGACTTAAGTGGGTTTTCTTTACTTCCCATTTACTCCTGGACTGGGTGCTGGAGAGACCTACTACCCAGATTCACCAAAGGGCATAGAAAACAAAAGCAAAAACCTGTTTTCTCTAGCCCATTTCCCCAGGCAAGAGGAAGCCCCACAGAGACTTTGTGGGATTCCACACCTGGAGCCCAGTGGGCAGTCGGATCTGCCCACAGCCCCAGCAAGAACGGCAAAGCCTGGAGCCCTGGTGGGCGGTCTGATCTGCCGGCAGCGTCAAAGCCCTGGCTGTCTCAGTCCCTCAGCCACAACGTAGGCCCCAGGCCTCTGATCTGCCTACAGTGGCCACAAGAACAAAGACCAGGCCATGGTAGCAGCAGTCATTTGTTTCCCTGCCGTCCACCCCATGGCAGGAGGAGACCCAGGCCCGGTAGCTTCTGACTGCAGCCCGCTCTCCTTTAAGGTTGCCCAGGGAGAGCAAGTGGTCCTGGGAGGCACCCCGCAGATAGCATCAGCACGGTTTGACTGGGAGCCCCCAGCAGCCCCGGAAAGAGGAAGCCGACCAGAACAGCACTGTAAGGGCTCAGAAAACTAAACAACTGTCATTAGAACTGCAGCCCGCAAAAGAACTCAAGAACTTACATACTAAACCTAAACAGGGCAATAGCCTGCTAAAATAGAAGATTTTTTGATCAAGAGTCCAATAAAGATCCCAGCGTCCAAGATATTTATTAAGCACCAGGAAAACCACAGTTTGAGTGAGAAAAGGCCTTCAACTGAGGCCAATACCGACTTTGAATCAGATACTGGAATTATTTCATGGGCTTTTGAATTCAGCTGTCATAAAATTGTTCCAGCAGTTGGTTACAAATTTTCTTGAAACAAATGAAAATAAAGATCTCAGCGCAGTAGAGCCAAGAGCATTTCCTAATGAATCGGAATTGGAATATGAAAGAAAGGGGTCAAGAATGGCACCGTAAGTTTTGGCTAAGCAACTGAAAGTAAATGTGGAGTTGGCCCTTAGCTGAGAGCGGGAGAAAGGAGATTGAAAAGCTCAGGAGTTCAGTTTCAGACGCATTGAGGAATATGCTGGTGCTTTTCTCTTCTTGTCCTCTGTGCTCTATTACGTGCCTTATTGATTAAAAGGACATCCTTATATAAGCACTGAATGGTTGATCGATCCCTGGGAAAATAAGCTTTACTGACTTGCATATTCCTTGTTAACATGCAGGGACTGTGCTTTCTCATCTAACTTGAAAAATTCCCCAACTGTTTGAATATTCGATTTTACTGTCTTGCCTAAACAGTTTATATCCATTTATTTTATACTCTTATTTTCTGATTTTTTTTCCCCTAAAGCAGTTATTTTCCAGATCATCTCCTTCTTTAGACCTAGAAACTGATTACTACAATTATGATTCAAAACCTATTTTCTGCTGCCCTGCACTGAGCTGGGTAATTAGGTATAAATGCTTATTTCCTTTGTATGCTTTGCCTTTTTGTTAACTGTTTTTTGGTTAAAAGACCAGAGGTTACATTACTGCCTGCTGAATATGCTTATATTAACAATTGTAAAAAGTAAATTACTTTTGGGAGTATTAATAAATAGACATTTAAATTGCATAGTTAAATCTTTTCCATCCTTTACTAAGCAAACAATTGGATTATCTCCCTCTCTGTAAGAATTTAAACAACAATTTGTATGCCCTGTGGGGGTGGGAGAATATTTGTTGCAGAGAAAAGTTTGAAATCTGAATGGCTCACAGCCGTTACAACTTCGTAATCTGCAGTGTGATTATAAATACTAAAATTTAGATCACTAGTCCAACATGCTTTTCAGGGAACACTAATGATTAATAGGTGCAGCGTGGGTGATGGGAGTAGAGGGTGGAGGAGAGAGATGCTGGTTTTCTGACTGCAAGACTTAGCTGCTGATGCGTAATGTGAATATGGGGCGGGGATGGGGGGTAAGTATTTTATATGGTGTTTGCCAAACTTGACAGAGAAACTTTTATTCCTTAAGGACTCCACAAGATGCCAATTTGGGAAACCCCAATTTAGAGTGTTAGCTAAATCCATTTTTGTTTCTGTGCTGCTATATAAACTTTGCATAATCCTATCGCAACTAAAATGAATAATAGAGAAAGGAGCGTATTGCTGGCTTTGAGGTTTCTTTCACTAATTTATGTAATTTAAATAAGATAATTTTATTTAATTCAGAATTAGGTCTAACTTGTTATGGAGATCCATAAAACGTGGTTCTGAGTGGGAAGAGATTAACAGTACTCTACAGAAGTATCACTGAAAAAAAAAATCTATTAATGAAGATACTAACTTCTGGGCCAAGTAATAGCTAATGGCAGGCAACGTACTGTTACAGGAATAACGGAGCATTTGGAGAACTATGTTAGTGGCATGCTAACAGAACACACTCCTTTTATAAATATGATTTACAATATAACCTCATTCTGCCAGCCTTCCATAATTTTTAGTTTCAGTTTATAAAGACTATAGAGTATGCATGCGGAATTTGACAATTGTGATATATTTAGTACTAGTTATAAGTAAGTTCACAAACACTAGTAGAAAGTTAGGAGCAAGTTTCCAAAAAGTTGTTTCTCTACTCAATATTTTTTTGGGGTCAGTTTCCGATATATAGTCCCACATTTAGAAAATAACAATGAGAATGTGCAGCTCTTAATTTAAAAATGAAAATTAGGCTTTTCTCGTGCCTGCCTTGAGAGGAATGGGGAGAATCCCTGTGTTCACGCCTAGGGCAGACGCTGCTAAACACTTGGTCTTTGTGTCTGTATTTCTATAACATACTATGTTCTAAGAGCTTGCCTTTAGCACTTTGTTTTTTCTTTCTGGGCTTCTTGCAGTGTTTCTGAGGGGATGTTTCCAGCAGTTCCTTTCAGAGAGATGGGATTTGTTCGTGTTCTCTGGGGCTCTGTCTTTTGCCCTTTTTGGTCTGTACTCTTAAGTAATCTCGTTCACATGAATGGCTTAAGTTACCTCCTGTTCACTCATGCCTCCTTAGGACAGAGATTGAGAACTTAGATCTTGGAGTTCCATATGTCTTGGTTCCAGTCCTGACTCTATCATTCACTGTCTGGCCCTAGACAGTCTTGGCCTCAGTTTTCCTAATCTGTGAGATGGGGCTAATAGTTTCTTAGCTCTTATGATAGATAATGTTATACATTACAAGTGAGAGAATCCATGTAGAGTTCTTAGCAGCATGCTTGGCAAATGGTATGCTGTCAATGGTGTTTGGTGTTGTCCTCATCATCTACATGTTGACCCCTTCCTTGAACTTTATATTCCTAATTGTCCTCAATAGATCTCTGCCTGGATAGTTCATGGAAATCAATATTTTGGAAATCAGTATTTTCAAAACACAACCATGTGTCTCCTTTGTCAGTTTTCTACTAGCTCTTTGTCATGTAGCCCCTCTCATTTGATGGTATCGTTATTTACTCAGTAACTGTTGCCAGAAATCTGTAAGTCATTCTTTCATCTGACCCCAAGCTGATCATTCACTACACTGTCAATTTTTTTAAAAGGTTGATTTATTTATTTGAGACAGAGAGTGCACATGTGAGCACAGGGGAAGGGGCAGTAGGAGAGGGAGAGGGTCCCAAGCAGACTCCGAACAGATCACGGAGCCTGACACAGGGCTCGATCCCACAACCCCAAGATCACCACCTGAGCCGAAACCAAGAGTCGGTCTCTCAACTGCACCACCCAGGCACCCCACTACATTGTCAATTTATTTTATCAGTTACCTCTGCTGTATTGGTTTAGGTATTTGTCACCTCATGCTTGGGCTAATGTTGTAGTAACTTCCTAACTGGCCCCCACTCATTCTTCAACCCATCTTCCACTCTTATGCCTTTCTCCCTTTCCATCTACTTCTCACCCTCCGGTTTTTCACACCAACAATACCAAATAGCTTGTAGTATCCAGCACAAACCATGTTTTGACTTGGCTGTAGACTGTTCCACATGCTCCTACTAATTTCTGGAGTTTTCCCTTTTCCCTTGTTTTGGCCTGAAAAAATGTATTCATCTTTCCAAGCCCTCCTAAGTGTTTCTGTCTCATAGAGGCTTCCTCTGACCACCTTCCTATCCATAGATAATAAATTCTTGGTATTATACTGTTTTAAACTGTTTTATTAATTCCTTGCTCTATAACATTATACTAAAATCATGTATACATACCTACAGCAGTCTGTTAAGATTAGGTGTTTCCTGAGGACAAGAATTGCTTTATTAATCTTTTGTTTGTTTGTCCTTTGTTTTTGTTTTTGTTTTTTTTTTTGGTCTTACTTCCATGGGGGAAAATGAAGTAAATGAATAAAATGTGCAAATATCAATAGAATTTTTTAATGTCAGTGCCTCAATATCCAGTATCTTGAAAGTTCTTTATATATTTGGCTAAAAAGGCCAAAATATGTACAACCAAGTCAGAATTCTTACATTGGGGTGTGTTTAGTTTACAGTTCTTCATATGTTTTGTTTTTTTTTCTTTCTTTCCTCCTTTGTTCTTCCTGTTTCTTATCTGTTAAAATGTTTTTTCTCCTCTTAGCACGTCTCCTTGATACATGCTCCATCATATATGAGCTAACAAAGACTGAGAGTCCATATCCTTCTACTATGGCCCTAACCCTAGCCCTTCAAACACATGCGCTCACACACGCACACAAAAACATATCAAGTTTTCCAGAACTTTTGGATTAGCAGAAATTGCTATGTATACTCTGCAGTCAGTCCTCTCATAAAAGTCGTGAATATATCCTGTGTAGATTCAGACCAGAGAACGGTGTGCTACATAAAAATCTAAAGAAAGGTCTACTAAACTTTTCACTGAACTGTCAGGGTTTGACAGAGGTACTAATTATGCCAGTATAAGTACTGAGTGAGTAAATGTGAGTCTTAACTCTTTGAATTACTCAGCTTTGACAGTTGAGCTAGATTTGTTCTATTAGCTTATTGGAGATCCACTGCCAAATTTTCAAATAAGCCTCCCCTTTCTATTTTCAAGGAACAATCTGAATTATACTGAGCTTAATTCTTCGAGGTGTCAGGTCTTTGATTGTTAACATTTAGGCAACAGTTCCTGAGACTTTGATTTTAATAATTTTCCACCTCATGTGTGTTTCTTTAATAGTAGCTATGATTAGGCAAGCTTTTTTCCTTTGGTTTAGTCACTGTACCAAAAGTAACCTAGCTTAGTGTGTATATGTAAGTGTGTGTGTTGGAGGTGGGAGTGGTCCCAGATGTATTAAAGAGAAAAACAAATGTCAGAACAACATTCCTGTCCTGTGGCTGCCAGAAAACTACAGGAAGACAGGGAAAGAATTTCTTGATGGAATGATATGTATGAGCTCTTCTTTAGTAGCAATGACTAACAATGTTGAAATAAGAGGAAAAGACCACTGTTACCTTTATTAAGTATTATTTTTATATATATTTATGTGTCTATAGAATGTAGTTCTTAAGACTATTCTTACTGCTAATGTCATTATTATTTTTAGTTTGTTTCCTTTTTACCCACCCACCATTTATTTCCCTCAGCTAACATCAGAACTATATAGAAAGTCGTAGGAAAATACAGACTTAGTAAATTGGTAGAGAAACAGCTAGAAGTACCATGCTTTTTCAGTTTTATATACTTGTGTAAAATTGTATGATAAATTTATCAGTGGCTTTGCTCATTCCTAGTTTATTTTTGATCCATTGTTCACCAAATACTTATTGAGGGTCTAATATATACCAGGTATTCATTGAGTTTATATTCTAAAACCACATAACATAATACTACATATTATAAATATACATTACAGAATACACATACATACGTGTATATGTGTGTATGCATATGCACGCGTGCACACACAGGTGATATTCATTATTTGCAGTAGTTATGTTCTATGAAGTTGTCCCAAACACTGAATGAATGCTGAACCATTGCCCC